CTCCGCACAAAGAAATGCAAGGGTCAGTGGGACTGAGACAAGTAAAGGCTGTAAAAGCAAGTGACCCATAATAACTTATTAGCCTGAGTCTCAGGCTTTGTTCTTAATATCCAGATGCAGTAGCCTGTTCTTCTGCTCTCCCCTCTCTGGAAAGAAATGACTGAGGACACCTCCTTCACATTTTCTCTTTCTTGGGCTTTTTCAGTTCATAAAGCTGCAGTCAGTGTGTTCTGTGTGTGCTGAGGAGGGAATGACACGGTCCCTGGTGGTCCCACCACGGCTGGCATTGGTGGCTCAAGTGCATTTGCCCTTTGTATCCATGAAAGGACGTGAAGATGCAGTTCAGCTCTGACAAGCTGCTGATTTTCTTCTTTTTCTTCTTCTTTTTTTTTCCTGAATGAGGGATGTGTGGGGAATAAGCATTTTGCAACTTAGTTTTCCTCAATAAATCACGGCATTTTGCTGAGAGCAGCTGTGTGCAAGTTCACAAGCTCAGAGCAGTTCCAAACTTTTTTTTGGAAAATTAAAATGCCTAAATCTAACTTCCACATCTCACCTTCAGTTTCACTTATTTTAGCAGTAGGAAAACTCCTTGGAGGTGATTTCAATGACAAGAATTGTAGATAATTGAGACTTCTTACTCAGTGTTATTTGGGACTTTGGCAAATTGTATGAAAATTACATTACTCTGAAATATTTAATGCTCAGTGGTGTATCTTGAAAACAACTGATTTTTATCCTGTGAGTCTACATAAGAAAGTGTCCATCAAAATCTTCAAGGACTACAAACCTAGAATCTCTGTGATACAAACTCATGAGATGATATTTATGGGCTTGAAAACTGTCTTGGACAATAACTTTAATGCAACATAATGCCACTTTGCCAAAGGCAAAAGGAGAAGAGGGTGGCAGAGAATCAGATGGCTGGATGGCATCACTGACTCAATGGAAATGAACTTGAGCAAACTCCAGGAGATAGTGAGGAACAGGAAGGCCTGGCATGCTGCAGTTCATGAAGTCACAAAGAGTCAAACATGACTTAGCAACTGAACAACAACAAATGCCACTGTCATCAGACTATTTCTCTTATCTAAAACACACATGTGGTATTTTAAAAATAGTTACCCATTACTTAGTGCTCAACATGCATTAAGATATTATGAAAAAATTAATTAAAATGAATTTCATTTTGTCTTCCCAACAAACCTTAGGAAGTGGGTATTATTTTCTCCATTTTACTGAAAGGAGATTGTGGCTTTGTGGGGCAGAGATGGTAAGAGGGAGAGCTGGGACGGGGACTTGGAAAGGGAGACTGCGGGGCTCTGCACTGCACCACACTTTAAAGCTGTTGGCATCATGAATGATTATCAGGTGCAATCACACCACATAAGTTGACTTTTTTATGCTGCTATCCTTCATCCTTTGAAATGGTGAACAACTCCAATTTGCCCAACCACTTATATAATGTGACTGAACAGGCTGGTAGCTGTGAGAATCAGTGTACAGGATGGTGCACAAACTTATGATCGCCTCTCTGTCGGGATGTGGTCTCTGAGTGACATCACCTGAGGGGGCGGACTGTCCTGCAGTGTAGACCACTACTCAGAATCCAGGGTTTTCCTTAGCCACACTTGGCATAACCCTCACAAAATATTAAATAAACTATCTTAAATACCACTTAAGGGAATGAGAAGGAATTAGATGAGGGAAAGAATATGGAATAAACACTTTAGAAGTAATAAAAATAAAAATGATCAAGAATCTTCTAAGGTTTATCAAATAAACCAAGGATAAGCAAAATCATCAAAAATGAGTTTGAACACCAGTGCACTAACACGGCTGAACAATGCCCTTCCAGACCCTTCCCTTCCCCCCTCTCAGCTGATGATAGAGAGAAAGATTGGGTCCCACACAGGAACTCTGCCTCCAGCATCTACAGTGGCCTTTCCCTCTCATCTGGGATCAAAGGTCACCTCCTAGAAGCTCCGCCACCTCCTGGACCAGGTTCCCTAACTGCCTCCAACCTCCACATCCAGTTTGCCTTCCAGGACTTCCCCCACAGGGGTCCCACAATTAGGATTCCAAAGCCATCAAGGGGTGCATCTCTGGATATATTCCTTCCCTGGGGAGGGAGGAGACCCATGAGGGGAGGGCAGCCCATGATGGGAGGGCTTCATGCCTGATTCACCCCTGTACTTCACAGCCTCAATCCTTGTTTGTTGAAGGGAAGGATGGAAGAGAGGGAAAAATCACCAACCATACTCCCCTCCCAGAAACTAAAATCTCAAACAACAGGCAAGAGCTTCTCAGACCCTGAATTCCAGATGGGCCTCTCTCCTGATTCATTCAAATTCTTTCCAGCCTGTCTTCACCTCAACTCCCTCCAAGACTCCTGGATTTGCAGTCCTTTGCTCTCTAACTCCTCGGGTCACCAGATGCCTCCTGATTCCAAATCAATCAACAAGTTTCCGTGGACTCACCTTTTCATTTGCACTGAACAGACCTGTCCTTCCTCGGGTCTCCACCGTATCTCCTCCTCTCAACCTTGCTGTTCATTATGTGTCTTCAGTACTTTCCTTCTCTCTCTGCTTTCTCCCTGAATATCAGGGCTTCCCTAAGCTTCTGATCTTGGCTCCTAGAATGCTTTCCTCTCTCTGGGCAATTTATCCATCCTCACAGATTTAGCTACTTGCTCAGTGAAGAATATGCAAGCTCCAGGCTCATCCCAGGTCTCTCTCTCAAAGAGCAAACTCTTACTTCTAATGAACTATAGGACACCACCACCAAACTTCAAGATAATTGCACAACAAGTGGTAGAGGAAGGACTGGAAATCAGCTAGACTAGAATTTTCTCTTCTTTTTAATGAGAGTGTTTCCTGCTGAAATCAGGTAGCATCTACCCCAGTCCCTCTCTACACCATCCAAAAATATGTGACAAATTCTGATTATGATGACTAACCATATGCTAAGCACATGGCAGAAACCCAAACTTAGCCTAGCTTGCTGTAGCAAAGAAACAGAACCTTTCACAAAATCCTTTCAAAGTAATTTATAATCACTGTCAAAACATGACACTGTTTTTAGGGAAAAATTGTTTTTGGGGATAAATTATGTAGCTAAACCCAGCAGGGCACACTTGTAAAATAAGTTTTCAGAAGAGAAAAAAACAATCAGACATCTTTGCAGTAAAAGTCCTCTGCCCCCGAGTCTCAGTTCTCAATGGTAACAGTGGAAGCCTTCCCACAGGCTGCACTGTCTGTAGGACACTGTTGCACTGTTCACTGCTGCATTTCTGTGTGCAGCTTTTGATAAATGCATTTCATTTCCAAAATTAACAATTGGAAAGAAAAAGTAAATTCCCCACAGGCTTAACCACTGATAAGTAGACAGAATAACAGAGGCAAAAAAAACAAAAAACAAAAAAAACCCACTCCATAAGAGCATCAGTACTGAATGTGAGGATGAGAGCTGAGATGACCTAACATTATTTCCTAAAACCTCAAGTTCACAGACAAACTGAGGCTAGATAGAAGGTATTCCTGTAGGTCTCTCTCTCTCTTTTTAAGACACCTTAAGACAGAGCAATCAGCTTGTGAAAAGAAAAACTGCCTACATAAACAAAAGACATTTTCTGAGATGACTTTGATCCCGGAATTGAATATCTGGCTTAAAAGCTTTTGTGTCTTCAAAGTTGCTCTCTATGGTCCTTCTTGGACTTCTCAGGTGGCTCAGTGGTAAGAATCTGCCTCCCATGCAGCAGATGCAGGAGACACGAGTTTGATCTCAGGGTTAGGAATATCCCCTGGACAAGGAAATGGCAACCCACTCCAGTATTCTTGCCTGAGATATCCTATGGATGGAGGAGCCTGGCGGGCGACAATCCACGGGATCACAGAAGAGTTGGACACAACTTAGCAACTAAACAACACTGTCCTTGTTAAAATATTATTTTCACCTTAGTTTTAGCCAAACTTTTCTTTGTAAGTAACCACACGTAGCTTTATCCAAATAAAATGGTGCAGCAGATATTTGTCCCCTGTGGGAAAACAATACATCATGCTCATGCTCAGTTGTGTCTGACTCTTTGCAGCCCCATAGACTATAGCCTGCCAGGCTCCTCTGTCGGTGGAATTTTCTATGCAAGAATGCTGAAGTGGATTGCCATTCCCTTCTCCAGGGCATCTTCCCAACCCAGGGATCGATTCCATGTCTCTTGCATCTCCTTCATTGGCAGAATTGATGCTTTTCAACTGTGGTGTTGGAGAAGACTTTTGAGAGTCCCTTAGACTGCAAGGAGATCCAACCAGTCCATCCTAAAGGAGATTAGTCCTGGGTGTTCATTGGAAGGACTGATGCTGAAGCTGAAATTCTAATACTTTGGCCACCTGATGTGAAGAGCTGATTCATTTAAAAAGACTCTGATGCTGGAAAAGATTGAGGGCAGGAGAAGAAGGGGATGACAGAGGATGAGAAGGTTGGATGTCATCACTGACTCAATGGGCCTGACTTTGGGTAAACTCTGGGAGCTGGTGACAGACAGGGAGGCCTGGCATGCTGCAGTTCATGGGGTCACAAAGAGCTGAACACTACTGAGCATCTGAACTGAACTAAGCCACCTGGGAAGCCCAATACAAGGCATAATTTAGTTAATCTAGGCTATCTTTCCATGAGAGGTGATTATTTTTATATTATGAAATGTGCTCATAGTAAAGGGAATCCATGCCAGACACCTCGGAGGCAGAGGGAGAACCACTTACCCAGCATGTCGCTGCTTCAGACCAATGTTGTCATGACTGTGTAGACATGCCCACCCCAGGGGTTACTCATGTTAACTCAGGATCCCAATCAGAACTTCACCTTTCTCTCACAAACAGCCTTTACTGAGGATAACAGGATACATGGCCAGGTTGAAAGGCCCACCCTCAGCCCCTGTGAAAAATCCTTGAGAAACAGGTACTCTGTTCCTCCCTTTGAGAACTCTGGCAGGACTGGTACATTACCTGGATGAAATCAAGAAATGTCAGGGGCAGCAAATCATCCATATGCCCAATGTCTTTGGAGAAACGATTCAAAATTCTTCCTGTAAGAACAGGATACGAGAAATTACTCATTCCCTCAGGAGCTTTAAGAGAAATAATTCATGAACATATCAAAACAATAATTTTGAAGACTATGTATATAGGGACTTCCCTGGTGGTATAGTGTCCCCACTGTAGGGGATATGTGTTCAATCCCTGGTCCGGGAAGATTCCACATGCCACAGAGCAACTAAGCCTGTGCACCACAACTACTGAAGCTCATGTGCCTAGAGTCTGAGCTCTGCAACAGAAAAAGCCACCACAATGTGAAGCCCAGGCACCTCAATGAGGAGTAACCCTTGTTTGCTGTAACTAGAGAAAGCCCATGTGCAGCAACAAAGACCTAATGCAACTAAAAATAAATAAATAATTGCTTGTAGACTTTTGGAAAGCAGCCATCCTGACTGGCGTGTAATGGTACCTCATTGTGGTTTTGATTTGCATTTCTCTGATAATGAGTGATATTGAGCATCTTTTCATGTGTTTGTTAGCCATCTGTATGTCTTCCTTGGAGAAATGTCTGTTTAGTTCTTTGGCCCATTTTTTGATTGGGTCATTTATTTTTCTGGAGTTGAGCTGCAGGAGCTGCTTGTATATTTTTGAGATTAATCCTTTGTCTGTTGCTTCGTTTGCTATTATTTTCTCCCAATCTGAGGGCTGTCTTTTCACCTTGCTTATAGTTTCCTTTGTTGTGCAAAAGCTTTTAAGTTTCATTAGGTCCCATTTGTTTATTTTTGCTTTTGTTTCTAAAATTCTGGGATGTGGGTCATAGAGGATCCTGCTGTGATTTATGTCGGAGAGTGTTTTGCCTATGTTCTCCTCTAGGAGTTTTATAGTTTCTGGTCTTACATTTAGATCTTTAATCCATTTTGAGTTTATTTTTGTGTATGGTGTTAGAAAGTGTTCTAGTTTCATTCTTTTACAGGTGGTTGACCAGTTTTCCCAGCACCACTTGTTAAAGAGGTTGTCTTTTTTCCATTGTATATCCTTGCCTCCTTTGTCGAAGATAAGGTGACCATAGGTTCATGGATTTATCTCTCGGCTTTCTATTCTGTTCCATTGATCTAAATGCTGGAGAGGGTGTGGAGAAAAGGGAACCCTCTTACACTGTTGGTGGGAATGCAAATTAGTACAGCCACTATGGAAAACAGTGTGGAGATTTCTTAAAAAGCTGGAAATAGAACTGCCATATGACCCAGCAATCCCACTTCTGGGCATACACACCGAGGAAACCAGATCTGAAAGAGACACGTGCACCCCAATGTTCATCGCAGCACTGTTTCTAATTGGCAGGACATGGAAGCAACCTAGATGCCCATCAGCAGACGAATGGATGAGGAAGCTGTGGTACATATACACCATGGAATATTACTCAGCCATTAAAAAGAATTCATTTGAATCAGTTCTAATGAGATGGATGAAACTGGAGCCCATTATACAGAGTGAAGTAAGCCAGAAAGATAAAGACCATTACAGTATACTAACACATATATATGGAATTTAGAAAGATGGTAACGATAACCCTATATGCAAAACAGAAAAAGAGACTCAGATGTATAGAACAGACTTGTGGACTCTGGGAGAAGGCAAGGGTGGGATGTTTCAAGAGAACAGTATCGAAACATGTATATTATCTAGGGTGAAACAGATCACCAGCCCAGGTTGGGTGCATGAGACAAGTGCTCGGCCTGGTGCACTGGGAAGACCCAGAGGGATCGGGTGGAGAGGGAGGTGGGAGGGGGGACCGGGATGGGGAATACGTGTAAATCCATGGCTAATTCATTTCAATGTATGACAAAAACCACTGCAATGATGTAAAGTAATTAGCCTCCAACTAATAAAAATAAATGGAAAAAAAAATAAAATAAAAACAGCAAAAAAAAAAATAAATAAATAAATCTTTAAAAAAATAATGTACATGTATTAAATATTTAATATATTGGGCTTCCCCAGGGACTCTGTGCTAAAGAATCCATCTGCCAATGCAGGAGATATAAGAGACAGGGGTTTAATCCCTGGGTCTGGAAGATCCCCTGGAGGAGGAAATGGCAACCTACTCAAGTATTCTTGCCTGGGAAATCCCATAGACAGAGGAGCCTGGCAGGCTACAGTCATAGGAATATAAAAGAGTCAGACACAACTTAGAAGTAAAACAACAAAAAATTTAATACATTACAAATTCATATTAAATAAGCCAATGTTAGTGGTAAAAAGAAAGACAAAATAGGATGATACCTAAAGAGAAACAAAAATACCACCAAATGGCAGTGGGTGGGGAATTGAAACTCTGCCCTGATTTTTAAAAGAATGGGGGAACCTTGTGGCAGTATCAGGAAGAATTGGTGGATTTGAGAAAGTTCCCTCCCTTTAGGTCCATCCCATCTAAGGCTCACTTCAAGTGCTAAATCTGTAAATAAACAGTTGTAAAATACCTAAGTTAATCCTAATTGTCACACTAATTTTGCTTTATTATCAAGATTAATTTTGCCAAATGATGCTTTCTATAATAAACATAATTATATCCTCTCTGTAAATTTTTTTTCCCTCCAATGGCTCACAGCACCTCACATTTTGGGAAATTTTGGATTGTGGCTATTTCCAAGTTGTGAGTTTATTACTGGCTTAATAAGTCACTGTTTTCAGAGGTGTACCAGGTGTGACAAGCATAGACTTACGAATAAGCATCTAAGAAGATCACAGGGATGTAGGCAGGAAAACAGAAATATTACTAAATAACTAAGAATCACTTATCATTGATTTTATTTTCCTTCTCAGAATCCACAATAATAGTATATCCTTAAGGCTGCAGGATAGAATATGGGAATTTCTGGTAAATATCTGGGGTAAACTAAAAATGTCACATCACTAAACAAAGGATGCTGCAGCCATCAGGACTCTGCAGCCACCCCTGCAAGGGTGGTGCACCCTGAGGAGACTCAGGATGAGAAAGAACAGGACACTGGCCCCAGACAGGGGAGGTGCACATCAAAGGAACCTTAACAGGGAGGAGCCAATTTTGACTCCATGCTGGATCTGCTTCTTTGACCACTGCTAGTCATTGCTTTGGTCAGGGAACCCTGCCCCTCTGCCTGAATGTTAAACTAAGGTGGCTTTTTTCAGCTCACAGGGAGACAATCTGACCCTCACCACCTGTGAATGGCTGCAGAAAAGAAAAAATGAACAAATACCCTGTTATTGTGCAAGATAAATGGTCTTTTGACTTTACTTCCTCACCTCCTCTCCTCTCTGTTCTATAAAAGAACCAGGCATCCATATCCCAATAAGATGGCTATTTTGATACATCAGTCTGCCATCTTCTCAGTCTGCCAGGTTTCCAAATAAAGACATTATTCTTTGCCTTAACACATCGTCTATTAACACTTATTGGTGTTGTGAGGCAAGCAGAGTGAGCTTGAACTTGGTAACAAGTAATACCACTCTGTGTGGTCCTCTCTTCATGCCATCACATACCAGAGTCAAAGACACCATAAACAATCTATCACAAATTCTACTTTTGAAAATAAACACAAGAAAGAGTTCAATTTAATATACCACTAAAAGCATAAATAACTGGCCCCTAAACCTTTGGGCCTATCTTTGCAGTCCTTATTTGGGCTTCTATTTTCTTGAAGGGATGAAGTTCTGACAAAAGACACAGGAAGGGGTGACAAGATCCACACTGGTATGCCTGCTGCTCTAGGATTAGTGACCTTAAAGATTTAAACTTGGTTCCAAATCCTTGAATAATAAACCAGCATCTGGAGAAGCCTACAAGTCAGCAAGAGCCTGGTTAACAGTGGTCACAAGCTGTGATAACAGAAATTCAGTCCCACTTGATGCTCCCAAATTTACAACTGTAGTTTCCACATTAACAGGAAAAGTAGGGCAATTTCATAGCCATAATAGCAAAGATTCTTCCAAATACTTCCTCACTCCATTCGTAATAAAATGAGATTGTGTGTGCCTCTGCAGTTTACCATACTGTGCTCCTCACAGTGCCTGGACTAAAGAACATGTGTTGAATAAATGTGCACAAGATGCTTCACTAAACAGTCATATTTAATCCTCACGACAGTCTTGTGAAACAGGAAGGGCAGTGGTTAATTCAATTTCATAGGAGAGAAGTTACCAGACACCAGGTTGACATCCTCACTGAGGTTCATTAGACATTGACCCTGTGCTAAGCGCTGTGAATATATTTACCTGCTTCATGCCCACATCATCAAGATATCAGTAAGTGTGTGAATAGTATCCTCATTTTATAGGTAAGAAAACTGAGACACAGAGAAATTAAATAACTATCATGTAAGTATTAACATAACTATAAGTGGCTATTACTATTAGAAACTATCTCCAGGACTGAACCAAGAAAGTTGGCTCCAGGATCCATACTTATAACCATGACAATATCCTGCTTGGAGATTTGCCTGCCCAGTAGTATCTACCTACATTGGCCTCGATCACACAGATAGTTGATGGCCAGGCCAAGGCTACTGCTGTCCTCTCTGCAGTCACATCCCTGCCTCAACAGGTCCTTTCAATCATGACCTGCAAAAACAAAGCTTCCCTGGGCCTCAGCACAAGTCTAACCAACTGAACAGAGTGGGCATGTGTGCTGATGAACTAGCTCTTCATAGGAACCCAGGTCAGGAGGTTACCTTCCAAAGCAAGACAGGTTGAAGACTTCAGGGTGGAGGAAGAAACTACTGGAAACCCTTCAGGGACACTCTTAATACTGAAGATCCACCTGCTAGGTACCATAAGACATCTTTAATGTAACCAAAGTCCATTGTAAAACTGCTGCTGCTGGTAAGTCACTTCAGTCGTGTCTGACTCTGTGCAACCCCATAGACGGCAGCCCACCAGGCTCCCTCGTCCCTGGGATTCTCCAGGCAAGAACACTGGAGTGGGTTGCCATTTCCTTCTCCAATGCATGAAAGTGAAAAGTGAAAGTGAAGTCGATTAATCGTGTCCGACTCTTAGCGACCCCAATGGACTGCAGCCTACCAGGCTCCTCTGTCCATGGGATTTTCCAGGCAAGAGTACTAGAGCGGGGTGCCATTGCCTTCTCCGATTGTAAAACTAGAGAGTTGATTTTATAGAAGAGGATGTTTACATTTCACTGATCTTGTATTTTAATTAACCTTACATTACCATTTAGGTAAAACTCAAAATATGAGCACATGTCAGAGCTCCGTGGTCCCAGAAATGGATGGACAATGAGAGAAACAAACACACGGCCTGTCTTCTGTAGAGATGTTCCTGGAAGATGGTCCTTCCTAGTTAGCTTAACACCATGTAACACAGCCAATGTTTTAACAACTAGTCAAAAACATTTCAACACATTTTCATCATCTGTTGGGTGTTTCATACACCACATAACAAATGGACTCCTAAATCATCCTGCAAAGTAAACATTCATGTATATTTACAGACATGCATAAATTGGAATGAAAGCTTATATGCTCCTATATTCAGATTTTCTCTGGTAGGAAAAATTACCAGTGAAGCTTTTTGTAGAAAATGAATAAACATACATAGTGAATTTCTTCCAAGCATCTCTTCCACTTTCAAATATGAAAATGCAAATAGGCACTTAATGTGGTAACAAGACATATTCATTTAAGAAATTTCGTGTCTGACTTACCTATTGGATTTCTATGGAAGAACAATACTCGAGATCTTAAAATGGTCTCCAACATTTTGTTGTGCAAAGTTCGTGAAGAATTAACAAGGATGTAGGATATCAACAGAGACCTTGTGATACCAAAAAGGATAGTAGACACAGTTAACCCTGAAATAAAGAAGCATCATTCAGCACAAGATCTCTGTCTTATCCTCAACCATGCTAAAGCATGGCAGGCAGTTTAAAAAGGTACTGTGCATTTGATTCTATAAATAAAGCTTATATGGAGATTTACATATATACAGAATAAAAAACATATAAAAATATATATATAAGTAGGTTATCTAATAGTTTAATGCTTTAAAAAATACATTTATAAAGAAAAATATAAAAATCACTGTTTTCCTCCCACTAAATAGAAACAACAAGGGGGAAAAATCATGTGTAAACTACAGCTTCATTCTAGGCTTGCCTAATTCAATTACAAGTTCTAATAAAACTTATAAGAAAGATAATTATACAAGTAGCTGATCTTCCTTTCTCCACATTTCAAATCTCATTATTACCAACATGTTCCATAATCTAAAAGTAAGGTATGCTTTGGTGAAAGTTGAAAGTGTTAGTTGCTCAGTCAAGTCATACTCTTTGTGACTCCATGGACTGTAGCCCCCAGGCTCCTCTATCCATGGAATTCTCCAGGCAAGAATACTGGAGTGGATTGCTATTCCCTTCTCCAATGCTTTGCTATCAGCACATGAATTAACAGGGAAAAGGAGAAATGATCTACCATTTCCTTGTAATTTACAAGGAAATATACTTCCATGTAAAGTACTTTTTAAGAACCTATTGTATAACACAGGGAACTCTACTTAATGTTCTGTGGTAACCTAATTGGGAAGGAAATCCAAAGAGAGGATATATGTTAAACTGGTTAACTTGGCTGTACAACAGAAATTAACACAACATTGGAAAGCAACTATAATAAAAATTTAAAATATTAAAAATAAAGTAGCTACTTCTATGCCCAAGTCGCTATAACGAGCATGAAAAGACCATGTTAAGTTGCAAGCGGACAATCTCTTTCATAACTGAACTGCAAGAAACCAGAAATTATCTTTGGACATGAGATAATCTAAACAAGATACCTAAACTGCTGCCGCTGCTGCTAAGTCACTTCAGTCATGTCCAACTCTGTGTGACCCCATAGACGTCAGCTCATCAGGCTCCTGGTCTCTGAGATTCTCCAGGCAAGAACACTGGAGTTGGTTGCCATTTCCTTCTCCAATCTAATCTCTCACTATTTTACAGAATCCCAAAGCATTTGTAAATAAATATAATCATTTTAATTTATGTTCTATCAATGACATAAATGAGCACTACTATGCATATAAAAATTAAAATAGCCCTCTAAACATCTCTTCAACTCACAATGCTATATAGAGTGGGGATAAACTCAGCAACATATATTCCATCAAGTACTTTTCTCCATTCAGCTGGCACATCAGTATTACTTAAATTCTGAAAGCTGGTTAAATACTTGAATTCCATCAATAGGCATTTGCCTTAGCCCACAATCCTATATGAATGTGTAACAGAATCCCTTCCTTCTTTAAGCCCTCATTGACCATCAATTCAGAAGGTAAACAGCTGGTAGATTCAAGTTTCTTATCAATTGATCAATAAAATAAATTCAAAATTTCAATGAGTGGATTTTTACATAACTTACTCTTTGCAGAAAGCTTTTCCAAGCATTTCCTGTGAGGATATTTAAATTTTTACTTATTTAAAAAAAATTATTGGGGTATAGTTGCTTTATAATATTGTGTTGGTTTCTGCTGTTCAACAAAGTAAATCAGCTATATGTATACATATATCCTTTCCCTCTTGGACCTCCCTTCCCCCCATCCCTCCCCTCTAGGTCATTGCAGAGCACTGAGCTGAGCACCCCTGTGCTATACAGCAGCTTCCCACGAGCTGTCTGTTTCACACATGGTAGTGTGTATGTGTCAGTCCTAATCTCCCAATTCATCTCCCTCACCTCCCCACTGTCAGGGAATGTTTAACAGGAGGATTCCTACATGCTGTTTCTCATAAATCCTCTGTTCCTTATCAGTTTCTGGCAATAGATACTGAGTGGAACGGCACACCACTCCCAGGACTGAGGTCATAGGATGAGACATGCATGGATCTCCTTCAGTAAATTCTCCTTATGACAAAACTGCTTAGTCTCGATCCCCTTTTTTGAGATATAGATTGTCTTCCGACCTTATGACCATTGTTAATCCCTTGTTCCCTTGGTAATGGTTGCTGTACATTTGGTTTTCTGATCTTTATCATTGTCGATCATTATCATTCCTGTACAACAGTCTATATATACTCACAGAAAGACCTTAAAGCACCTTTGCTCCATCAGAGCTTGGGTTCCCGTGTCTTTTCTTTCTTTCTCTCTCTCTCTCTCTTTTTCCCTCCAGCTCTCTCTCTTTCACTTTCTTATTGTTGACTCCGGACCACCAGGTTCCAGTCCATTAAACAACTGCAACACCCCATTCCCGCTCTGTATCCAAACATCTATTCTCTACATCTACAACTGTATTCATCCCCTACGAATTGGTTCCTCTGTACAATTTTTTTTATTTCATGTTGCTGTTGTTCAGTCACCAAGTCGTGTCCAACACTTCACAACCCCATTGACTGCAGCATGTCAGGCTTCCCTGTCCCTCACCATCTCCTGGAGTTTGCCCAAGTTCATGAATTGGTGATGCCATCCAACCATCTCATCCTCTGTCACTCTCTTGTCCTTTTGCCTTCAACTTTGCCCAGCATCACGGTCTTTTCCAGAGAGTCAGCTGCTTGCATCAGGAGTACTGGAGTACTGGAGCTTCGGCTTCAGCATCAGTACTTCCAGTGAGTATTCAGGGTTGATTTCCTCTTAGACTGACTGTTTTGATCTCCCTGCTGTCCAAGAGACTCTCAGTCTCAAGTCTTCTCTAGCACCACAGATCTAAAGCATCAATTCTTCAGTGCTCAGCCTTCTTTATAGTCCAGCTCTCACATCTGTGCATGACTACTGGAAAGAACACAGCCTTGAGTATACAGACCTTTGTCGGCAAAGTGATGTCAATGCTTTTTAACACACTGTCTAGGTTTGTCATAGCTTTCCTGCCAAGAAGCAATTGTCTTCTAATTCCATGGCTACAGTCACCATCCACAGTGATTTTAGAGCCCAAGAGGAGGAAATCTGTCACTGCTCCCACATTTTACCCTTCTGTTTGCCATGAAGTGAAGGGAATGGATCCCATAATCTTAGTTTTTTGTTTTTTTTTTTTAACATTCACTTTTACAGGCTCTTCAGTTCCTTTTGCTTTCTGCCAATAGAGTGGTATCACCCACATATCTGAGGTTGATATTCTCCAGCAATCTTGATTCCAGTGTAACCCATCCAGCCTAGCATTTCACATGATGTGCTCTGTGTATAATTTAAATAAGTGGGGTGACAATAAACAGCCTTGTTATACTCCTTTCTCAATCCTGAACCAATCAGTTGTTCCATACAGGGTTCTAACTGTTGCTTCTTGATCTACATACAGGTTTTTCAGGAGACAGGTAAGAAGGTCTGGTATTCCCATCTCTTTAAGAGTTTTCCATAGTTTGTTATGACAAACACAGTCAAAGGCTTTAGCTTAGTTAGTGAAACAGAGGTAGATGCTTTTCTGTAATTCCCTTGCTTTCTCTATGATCCAGCCAGTGTTGGCAATTTGATCTCTGGATCCTCTGCCTTTTCTAAACGCAGCTTGAACATCTTAAAGTTCTCAACTCACATGATGCTTAAACATAGCTTGAAGGATTTTGAGCATAACGTTAGTAGCATGGGAGATGAGTGCAACTGTCTGGTGGACTGAACATTCTTTAGTACTGCCTTTCTTGGGAATTGGGATGAGCATGGACTTTTTCCAGTCCTGTGGCCACTGCTGGATTTTCCAAATTTGCTGACATATTGAATGTAGCAATTTAAATCTTTTAGGATTTTAAAGAGCTCTGCTAGAATTCCATCACCTCTAGTAGCTTTATAGGCAGCCATGCTTCCTAAGGCTCACTTGACTTCACACTCCAGAATGTCTGGCTCTGAATGAGAGACTACATCATGGTGGTTATCCAGGTCATTAGGATTTTTATTGTATAGTTCTTCTGTGTATTCTTCCATCTCTTCTTGATATCTTCTGCTTCAGTTAGGTCTTAACCATTTCTGTCCTTTATTATGCCCATCTTTGGATGAAATATTCCTTTGATATTTCCAAGTTTCTTGAAGAGATCTCTAGCCTTACTTTTTTTGTTGTTTTTCCTCTATTTCTTTGTAGAAAGAAAGGCTACAAATAAGGGCTTCCAATCTCTCCTTGCTATTCTCTGGAACTCTGCATTTAGTTCTAGGAGGGCTTCTAGGTCTTCATAGAACTGATCACCTTCAGTTTCTTCAGCATCAGTGGCTGGAGCATAAACTTGGATTACTGAGATGTTGAATGGTTTGCCTTGGAAATGAACCAAGATCATTCTGTCATTTTTATGGTTGCAACCAAGAACTGCATTTTGGACTCTTGTTGATTATGAGGGTTATTCCATTTCTTCTAACGAATTTTTGCCCACAGTAGTAGATATAATGGTCATCTGAATTAAATTCACCCATTCCCATCCATTTTAGTTCACTGATTTTTAGATGTCTATGTTTACTCTTACCATCTCCTGCTTGATCACATCCAATTTACCTCGATTCGTGGACCTAACATTCCAGTTTCCTATGCGATACTATTCTTTACAGCATCAGATTTTACTTTCCCCAACAGACACATCCACAACTGAGCGTCATTTCCACTTTGACCCAGCCACTTCATTCTGTCTGAATCTATTAGTAGTTGTCTTCTGCTCTTCCCTAGTAGCTTATTGGACACCTTCTGACCTGGGGGGCTAATTTTTTGGTGTTATATCTTTTTGCCTTTTTATGCAGTTCATGGGTTTCTCATGGCTAGTACACTGGAGTGGTTTGCCATTCTCTCCTCCAGTGGATTACATTTTGTCAGAACTCTCCACTATGACCTGTCTGTCTTAGGTGGGCCTACATGGCATTGCTCATAGCTTCACTGAGTTATGCAAGCCCCTTCGCCATGATAAGGCAGTGATCCATGAAGAGGCTAGATTCCATATATATATATATATATATATATATGCATTAATACAAGTATTTTTTTCTGTTTTTCTCTTTCTGACTTACTTTACTTTGTATGATAGACTCTAGGTCCAACCACCTCTTGACAAATGACCCAATCTCATTCCTTTCTATGGATAAGTAATATTCCAGTGTACATGTGTTAGTCACTCAGTCATGTCCAACTCTTTGCAACCCCGTGGACTGTAGCCCACCAGGCTTATCTGTCCATGGACTTCTCTGAGCATGAATACTGGAGTGGGTTGCCACTCCCATATCCAGGGGTTCTTCCTGACCCAGGGATGAAACTCAGTTCTTCAGCATTGCAGGCAAATTCTTTACCATTTGAGCTACCCGGGGAGCCCCCTTCCCCAATCCAGTGTATATATGTATCACAAATGAGATGAAAAGACAGTCCTGAGAATGGGAGAAAGTAATTACAAAATAAGTAACTGACCAAGGATTAATCTCTGCAGTATACAAACAGCTCATGCAGCTTAATATAAAAAAAAAAAACAAATAACCCAATCAAAAAATGGGCAGAAGACCTATATAGACCTTTCTCCAAAGAAGACATACAGATGGTCAAGAGGCGTATGAAAAGATGCTCAATATTGTTATTTGAGAAATACATATCAAAACTGTAATAAAGTATTACCTCACACCAGTCAGAATTGCCATCATCAAGAAATATACAAACAATAAATGCTAGAGAAGGTATGGAAAAAGAGAACCTTCTTGCACTGTTACTAGGAATTGCTACAGTCACTATGGAGAACAGTATGGAGAGTACTTAAAAATTTGAAAATAGAACTACCATACCACCCAGCAATCCCACGACTGGGCATTGTGAGTAGACCACAATGGTGAGACCACAATTATGGTGAGAAAACCATAATTCAAAAAGACACATGCACCCCAGTGTTCATAGCAATACAATTTACAAAAGCTAGGGCATGGAAGCAACCTAAACGTACATCAACAGATGAATGGATAAAGAAAGCATTTAAAATTTTTATTAAAGACATCCTTTAAATAGTATGTAATGCTATGTTATATATATATATATATCCTAAATACTCTTGTGAATAGAGAGAGTCATGTTAATAGTTAATATTAGTCTGGCAAGCCAAATTTTGAATTAATCACACAGTTAGGGAGGAGGTAACACTGTGATCTCAGGGTAAGAAAGAGAAGGAATCCTAATTCCAGACATTGGAATTCCCCTGCTTAGCTTCTCGTGTTATTGGTGAAGCCCAGGAGAAGAGCAGTGTGGAAAGGGGAGCCTGGCATACCTGGGAGGGAATAATGCTTTTGTCTGGGAACCACACTGCCAGAGGATTTCATCCAAGATCAATAAAAGCCAGGGTTTATTCAGACAGAATTGGAACAACTTGAACCACAGGGTGGAGATTCATGTCTAGTCCCCTTGTCCATTAATATAAGGATATAAGATTTAGCTAAAGCACCTATTAGAGTACACAGTAGTTACAGTGTGTATTTCCAGTGACTGATTTTCTCAATATGCAATCCTGGTTTAACTACCAAAATCCAGTATGAAGCAAGTTAAGAGTCTTCATTCAACCTCTTTTCTTCTAGTAGATCTTTAAAATAATCATTCTAATTAATTCACAGAGCAATGCGATTCAAACACTCAGTCTATTAAGACATTACTGAATTACTCTGGAAGCCCTCTTGCTCATGCGGACTCATTGTAAGCACCTTAAACTCTGGTATTCTAGAGCAGATGACTCAACTTTACCTGAATAAACTCCTAAGAACCAGTTCAGAACAAATACTACCTCTTCATCTTCTTTTAAATATCCCCCAAAATACAGGTTACTTTGTACATTCGCCCTATGGAACAGAAAATGAAAAATATTACACTATAGATATGCATAGAATTTACACAGATATCACAAAAAAATTACCTCAATTCAAGAAATGTATATTATGCTAGAAAGTGTTTCCCAGCTTGAAAGGCCCTGTGTGTATCTCCCTTTTAAAAATCTGAATCACGACTTTCAGTTTTCAAAATTATCTGTGAAGACAGAGTTAGAAAATGAACTTACGCTTGCCAAGGGGAAGGATAGTTAGAGAGTTTGGATGTTCATGCACAAACTGCTATATTTAAAACAAGTAACCCACAAGAACTTATTGTATAACACATGGAACTGGGCTGAATGTTATGTGGCAGATGGAAGGGAAGTCTGGGGGAGAATGGATACATGCATATGTATGGCGGTGTCCCTTCACTATTCAAAAGAAACTATTTTTAGTTTAGCCATTGTTTATCGGCCATTTCCAAATACAATATTAAAAGTTCAAAAAATGAAAAAAAAAAATCGTCTGTGAAGAAGTTGCTAGAGGGAGGGACATGGTGGGGGAGAGACCACGAGGGGATCACACACCACCCGCAGGAACTTTCATCTTTCTTCAGGGAAACTACGTGAGGGTCAGAAGAGGAGGCTGAACTAGCCCCTTCTCTCCCCCTGACTCTGTGGGAAAGTGAGGATCGTGTAGATATCACAGCACTGTGGGTCAGACCAGGAATCACTCACCAGTCTGCAAGCCACCAGTCCTGCAGGGCGTAGGCGACCTGGAGCAGGAAACACAGTCACTCAGACCCTGACGTCACTGAGCCCCACCCCCACTCACAGGATGGGGGAGGGGAAGGCTCCAGGACAAGGAGGCGGTCCTTCCGGCTCATGTCTGCGCCAAGCCCCTCACCCCGATGACCACAGCTCAGGGGAGGGCATCTTACATGTTAGTATCTTAAAAGAGATCCCCTTTTCCCTAGAAGACTTTGCTCCCCAAATATAATGTACTTCAATGCAAACCCAAGTGAACTGCAGTCAGTAATAACAAAACAAATGTTGGGGTTTTTCAAAGCAAAAAGCTTGACAGGTACAGGGAGTGTCAGTTCTGGGTGTCAGCTTGGCTGGGCCAGTCTCCAGTGATTCAACTAAATACTCAGCTAGATGTTGCTATGAAGGTATTTTGTGGATGTGGCTCACATCCATCATCAGAATTTAAGTAGAGGAGATCACTCTCAACACTGTGGTTGCCTCATCTAGTCAGCCAAAGGCCCTTAGAGTAAAACCTGAGACTTTCTGGAGGAGGAAGAAATTCTGCCTCAAGATATCAGGGTCAGCTCCTGTCTGAGGTTCCAGCCTGCAGGACTGCCTTTTTGATTTCACATTTACCAAGCTAGGCCCACAACTGCATGAGCCAAGTCTTTGTGATAAATCTCTTAATACAAATATTTAAAAATAATTATAAAATATAATATAAATAGCTGAGTGCACAAATCAAAATAAACACTCTTACATACCTGAGCTGCAATGTTTACTAGAATAAGGAAGATGATGACAGACCAGTCAGCACCAGCTGTGAAGTAATTTTTATAGGTCTTAAAACCAACTTTTCCTTCCAAATGGTCCTCTAGAGGTAGTACAACCTGTATATTCTCAGCCTAAAAGGGAAAAATGGCAATGAGAGATGAAATTTTAAAAAATGAACCCCAAATTTCAAGAGTTCAACAATGTCCTCCTCTGCAAAGCTGTGGGAATCAGACACATCTCATACACTGGTAGGAGTGCAGAATGGTCCATCTCCTACGGAGAAGTGTGTGGGAATATCTGGCCAAACCACATATATGTTTACCCCTGGACCCAGCCATCCCACTTGTAAGAATCTATGAGAAATAATCAAACGTCATTCACATGAGGTTATTCACTGTTGGGGAGCTTTGCTTAAAATAGAACATGACTCTCAACACACACACAACAAAATCAATTAATGTATAAATGCAGAAACTTCCTCTAAAATAACACACAAAACAATATGGAGCTAATGTATCCCTCTATATGACTGTGTCATTCAATGATAGAAACAGAAAACATACTTGGGGCTCAAAACACTAGCCAAATACAGTAAACTGAGTTCACAGAGTTAGAGTAAATAGGAGTTTATATAGCACGTTGCAAGCATATGATCTGAATCTATTTGGTTCCTAAATTTCAGAGTGATTCGAGTTTAGAAGGTGAATAGCTAATCTGAATACTTATCAGAATCATTCCAGGCTCCTGGGTTTGGATATCAAGGAATACCTGTGTATATTTTTAAGGGAGATCTAGTGCATTTCTGTCTGGAGGACTTAGAATGCATTACAGAGTCACAGAAGCCTAGTGTGTTCTTGGCTCTTTCCTGGCCCCTGGATTCAAGGTCGATAAGATGTGGTTCTTGGTCTTGAAGGGTAAGAAAGGAGGATGGGAACCAACACCAAAGTGTCTACAATGAGTCAGGTCCTTTGCACATGTTACCTCTGGCCTATCACAAACCATCTGACACTGAGGCAAAATAATACCATCAGTCACATGAGTGCTAGAACATTTCAACATAGAGGAAAAGTAGATGATTTAACATGACAACAGCAGGACTCAGTCTAAGGGGGTCTTCACATTAAGCCTCGGGATGCATAAGGGAAGCCAGGGGCCACCAGCCTGAGTAGGATGTAAATGTGGCAAACTGAAGAGTCCTCAATCAGTGTGAGCCACATTCACTCAGAAATTCATTGCAGTGCACCAGTACTGATCTCCATAAGAGTCTCCATCCTATACTCAAAGGGGAACCCCGAGCAGGCTTGATTCCTTCATGCTCTTCTATCAGTTCCATGGAACAAGACTTTGGGAACCTTAGGGTCTACTTTGGGACAAATGAAGATGTCATGAGCAGACTGAAGGTCCATGAGACCACCAAGAGCAGACAGACCCAGGCACACTGCAGGATGAGAAACTCACTTCTTGGTCTTCTGGAGCTGCATCTTTCAACGAGCATCTGGGAGATTGGAGAGACTGAACCAAAGACTCAGAGATCACAGTGGGAGTTCCTGGCAATGGAGATAGTTCAGACTGCTCATTCCCATTCTCAAAAAGAGAAAAAATATCTATCCCGGATTTCAGGAGCTCAGAGTAAGTTCCTCTTTTCACCACTATCCCCTAAAATAAAAAAGTTGAGAGGAATTAATTCATATTTGATAATATTAAACCAACCTAAATACTAATCAAGAAAAGCTATCTGGTCTTAAATTAACATTTTTGAAAAAACTGATCCCTGATTCTAGAATTCTTGTTGAGAAATCTAGTTCAGTCAATCAGTACAGAACTGAGCATTGCATTCTCTGCCAAACCCTGTCCCTGTCCCTGTGTTAGGTGCTGGGGGATATGAAAGAAATGTGTGCTCATGTGTTAAAAATGGAGGCCATTGACATGACTACCCTGAGCACTTAGGGAAGCAAGAAGTACAGAGGCTGGTGGGAGGATCAGCACAGTCTTTTTAGAAAACATGGGAATTGAGAGAAGCCTCATGTGACAATTCCAGGAAAGAAATGTAAACTTAACCCAGAGGTGGGTACAAGTACATCTGCATATAGATAAGAGTCAGTCATTAAATCTTCATTGACTATTGTCACTTTCATACTAATTTGTGCCTGGCTGAGATAATAGGAACCAGCCCTGGACAGAAAGTCCATGAGGGGTCTCTCCTTGGTCTACAACTGCCCCCACACACAGCAAGTTCCCAACTGAAAATTCAGAATCCCACCTTTTAAAGTAATTAAACATGGAAACCATGGGGCTGTGGTGGCTCTGAAGCCTTGGTAGTCTGTGCCCACAAACCAAAACCTAAGCCAGAATCAATGCATTCATATCCGAGAAAAAACTTAAGAACAACCAACCATATGCAGCCAACCAGGCTTCCCCAAATCAAGCACTGCTTAAGCTACAGCCAATCAAATCATTTTCTTTGAACACATGTGACATATCCTTGCACAGTTTCCCTCCCTTACAAAGTCATATAAAATAATGTGTAGATGTTTCACTACCTTCTGACCCCGTGAAACCAGACTCAGTTGATTCACTCAGTAGCATCAGGGGAAAAAAAAATCTCAGGATGCATAACACATTGAATGAGAGCAGCTCTGGTTAAGGCAGCTCAGGTGGAGGGAGATGGCCCAGGACCCTCGCTGGGACCCCTCCCACACTCTTCCCTGAGGTGGACCACTGGAAGAAATGCAGGGAAGCCTTTGGGTACCATCAGATACTGTAGAACTAGAAAATTATGCAGGATATATTGTCTCTTGTTCCACTCGGGAGGCAAAATTCACACACCTCTTTAATGAAACCACCATTCACCATATTAAATCTGTAATATGCAGAATGAAATGACTGGTGGTACAAAGACAGCAATTTTACTCAACAGTCAAGCACGGACAATTCTGGGCAGATGAAGGGACAGCCATCTGCTCTGAAGAGAGGGACCCAACAGTGAGGATGGACCCCAACTCAGGCAGGGGTGCTCACCAGTGGACAAATAGTTGTTTCCTTAGTACTAAAATTGGGGGTAGTGTCCTCAAAGAAAGCAATAAGGGGACCCCAAAACATCTAGAGATGGGCAAAATAGGTTATACTCCTGCCCACTGATCCTGTGCTCATAACACTATCAACATTGGAGTTTACACACTAGAATTGCCCTCTCTGCACATGAAATCAAGTGCTCTCGAGCTTGAGAAACCTTAGCCTCCCCCCATTCCTAGAGGAGTGAAGAAGGGCTGACACATGGAACTACTTTTAGAGAGGCAGGGGTTCTGTATCTTAATAATATTTCTTAGAGCAGAGATTCTTTTCCGAAGTCAGGGATCTGACCAAGGGCCTGCGGAGCAGTCAGAGGTCAACAACAAAGGTGCTGAGACCCAGAGGTAAACAATCCAAGGAGTGAAGTATCAAATGACCGCTAAGTCTGAACACTTTTCACTACTCTCCACCCCACCACCAACCATGCTAGGAGTTGTGGATTGGATGGTGCCCCCTCCTCAAAATGATGTGCTCAAACATGACACCTGTGAATGTTACCTTATTTGGATACAGGGTCTTTGCAGATGTAATCAAGTTAAGATGAGGTCACAGTGGAGCAAGGTGACCCTAAAGCCAGTAAGACCGATGTCATTATGAGAACAGAAGAGACCCAGACTGAAATGGAGACAACGGCCATGAGACATCAGAGGTAGAGACCACAGTGCTTCAGCTGGAAGCCAAGGAACACCAAGGAAGGCCAGTGAACACCAGAGGCTGGAGAGAAGGATTCTCCCCTGGAGCCTTCAGGGAGAGCACGGCCCTGCCAGCACCTGGATTTGAGACTTGTAGCCCCCAGGACACAGAGACAATAAACTTCTGCTGTTTTAAGTCACCCAGCTTGCAGTACTGTGATAGGGCAGCTCTAGAAACTGATACTCTAGCCTGAGCCCACACTTCTGTCTTCTTAGCTTTACTAAGACTCCTAACTGCTTCTGCTGTCACCCCTCCAGCGACCTCAGAGGAATCTCTTAGCTCCCACATCAGACCACATCCCTCCTCTGATCTGGACCATCCAAGACTTCCATCCCACTTCTAGGCTCGCTGTCCACTGCTCGGACACCAGCTCCCTCCCGTCCCCTTGCTCACTCTCCTCAGACACACTGGTCTCCCTGCCATTCCTCCAACCTGCCAGGTCAGCTCCTTCCTGAGGACCCCCTGCCCAGACCCCGTCCCCCAGGTGACTGTGTGGCCCCCACCTTTCTGTCACTCAGACCCCATGAGGCACCAGCTCCTCAGGGAGGCCAGGATGTCACCTTATTTATCACATTCTTCCCATAAGAACAGGAGCCCCATGAAGGCAAGGCCTTGTCCTCCTGCTGCATAGGCTCCCACACGTATAAGGCATGTAGAGACCTGGGCGGGGAGACCAGCAACTGGAGATACCAGCAGAGAGGACGTCTCTGACCCAAGTGCTCAGATACCCAACCTCACTTCTGGTGTTAATGGAAGATGCTCTTTTGGCAAACTATGTGTGACAATCACCTGGATACCAACAGATCTTAGAATCTCTAATTTCTAAATGATACACTTTGACTTAAGTCATGGAAGAGGAAAGTAAAAATTTCTAAATAAAACTGCAACATTACCCTTGAAAAATTTCATTAGAATAGTAATGATTCAATAACCCTGGGTTGTACTTTTATACACTTTAGGGTTTATATGGCTTAGAGTGTAATAGTGACATTTTACAGGGCTTTAGGTTCATCCTCCAAGGCATGAACACCAGCTCTGAGAAGAAGGGGATAAAAAAACTGAGGGAGAAGAGGGCGTTTACCATGAACCAAAGGAGAGTGACCCGCGGGGAGGTCTGTCTTTCAACACACCTGGGTGCTTGCAATTCCATGGATTTCTAGAAATTACTTACATGCTTCAATATCAGAATCTGACTTGCATCTTTTAGGTACTGCAACTGATGAGTGACTAAGATTGTGATCTTCTCTTTCAAGGCCTGATGAATACACCTTCAAATGTAAAAGGTACAGAATGCAAAAAGCACATTAAGGGAATGCCTCAAACTGAAAACATATATTTTTATTTTTTTTTCATTTATTTTTATTAGTTGGAGGCTAACTACTTTACAATATTGTAGTGGTTTTTGCCATACATTGACATGACTCAGCCATGGATTTACACGTGTTCCCCATTCTGATCCCCCCTCCCGCCTCCCTCCCCATCCCATCCCTCTGGGTCTTCCCAGTGCACCAGCCCTGAGCACTTGTCTCATGCATCCAACCTGGGCTGGTGGTCTGTTTCACCCTTGACAGTATACTTGTTTCAATGCTATTCTCTCAGAACATCCCACCCTCACCTTCTCCCACAGAGTCCCAAAGTCTGTTCTGTACATCTGTGTTTCTTTTTCTGTTTTGCATATTGGGTTATCATTACCATCTTTATAAATTCCATATATATGTGTTAGTACACTGTATTGGTCTTTATCTTTCCAGCTTACTTCACTCTGTATAATGGGCTCCAGTTTCATCCATCTCATTAGAACTGATTCAAATGAATTCTTTTTAATGGCTGAGTAATATTTCATTGTGTATATGTACCATAGCTTCCTTATCCATTCGTCTGCTAATGGGCATCTAGGTTGTTTCCATGTCCTGCCAATTAGAAACAGTGCTGCCATGAACATTGGGGTGCACGTCTCTCTTTCAGATCTGGTTTCCTCGGTGTGTATGCCCAGAAGTGGGATTGCTGGGTCATATGGTAGTTCTATTTCCAGTTTTTTAAGGAATCTCCACACTGTTCTCCATAGTGGCTGTACTAGTTTGCATTCCCACCAACAGTGTAAGGGGGTTCCCTTTTCTCCACACCCTCTCCAGCATTTATTGCTTGTAGACTTTTGGATAGCAGCCATCCTGACTGGTGTGTAATGGTACCTCATTGTGGTTTTGATTTGCATTTCTCTGATAATGAGTGATGTTGAGCATCTTTTCATGTTTGTTAGCCATCTGTATGTCTTCTTTGGAGAAATGTCTGTTTAGTTCTTTGGCCCATTTTTTGATTGGGTCATTTCTTTTTTTGGAATTGAGCTGGAGGAGCTGCTTGTATATTTTTGAGATTAATCCTTTGTCTGTTGCTTCGTTCGCTATTATTTTCTCCCATTCTGAGGGCTGTCTTTTCACCTTGCTTATAGTTTCCTTTGTTGTGCAAAAGCTTTTAAGTTTAATTAAGCCTTATTTGTTTATTTTTGCTTTTATTTCCAATATTCTGGGAGGTGGGTCATTGAGGATCCTGCTGTGATTTATGTTGGAGAGTGTTTTGCCTATGTTCTCCTCTAGGAGTTTTACATATATTTTTAAAACAGTGAGACAAAGACCACACAGCAATGAAAGATCTTTAGTTTAAATTCCAAATCAATAATAAAAATGAAATAAACATAAATCAATTAATTCAACTAGGTTCTTAAATTTATCAGCAGCAAATTTGAATCTAGTGCTATAAAAAATTCTTAAAACCAGTCTACTGAAGGAGGCAAAAACAGCTAAGTTATTTCCTCTAAAACTCAGTTTAACAATATTTACATGTTTCATAAAGGAAAACAACTGAGTAATACTGAGATTTCAAAACTTGACTAAACTAAAACACTATTTTATCATCTTCGGGAATGGGAGAAGAGGGATTCATGTCATTTAAAAATGTGTACATTCTTAGACAGCTTTCTAGGTAATTATTTATAATTAATAATGCAAATATTCCCAACAAAAAATTAATAGATTCTTGGTAATTTTTGCCAGAGCGCATTTGCTAGACACTTGTTCCCAAAGAACGTTAGATAGAAACTGAATGCCAGAGTGGCCTCTATCATTCACTACAACATTCCCAGTTCCATCCACGAAGCAAGTCTTCTTTCATTTGGAGTGAACACCTTCCAAACATGAAAGTAAAAGAACACAATCCAAATGGCCTAAATCACAGTGGAAATCACCCAATGCCTAAGAGCACCCACCAGTTCTCTTAGTTAAGACACCCCTCACTGCTGCTGCTGCTAAGTCGCTTCAGTCATGTCAACTCTGTGTGGCCCCATAGACAGCAGCCCACCAGGCTCCCTATCCTTGGGATTCTCCAGGCAAGAACACTGGAGTGGGTTGCCATTTCCTTCTCCAATGCATGGAAGTGAAAAGGGAAAGTGAAGTCGCTCAGTCGTGTCTGACTCCTAGTGACCCCATGGACAGCAGCCTACCAGGCTCCTCTGTCCACAGGATTCTCCAGGCAAGATTACTGCAGAAGGTTGCCAATGCCTTCTCTGACACCCCTCACTATTCAACCTTAAATTGTTTTTACAGTAAAAAACAAACAAACAAACAAAAAACTACTCCAACATTTCACATGCAGACCCCTTGGGACCTAGCCCCAGTGTCATCCCACAGGGTCCACAACCCCTCCAGGGAAGCAAGTGGGTGAGCCTGGGGCCTTGGTCACCACAGGTGGGGCTCCAGGCAGGTACTCTGGGAGCCTGAGACCCTGAGCAAATCTCAGGAACCTGGGCCAGAGCTCAGCCTGTGAGTGAGTCAGATGAAGAGTCGGGAGGCAGCAGGCTGCAGCTCAGTCCCTCTCAGGAGCCTGATGACATCAGACAAGTGACTAAACCTGTTTTGTCATCTCAGAACGTCAATGACAACTCTTTCATATGTCCTGAGAAATCAAAAGACCAATCTACTAAGCAAACGTCCACTTTCTTTTCCACTCCTCCCTAATCACGAGTGGCCATGTTCTTCGGACTCGGGTCAGAAAACTCTTAAGGGGACACTCTGGACACTGAGTCTGTGATCAGAAACAAGACCCTGGGATGTAAATACATACACCATCCCTTCGTTAGGTCCAAAGGGATTCATTTTTACATTTTGACATGTGTTAGCTCAGCGTTCATACCTGTTTCTTGACTAACACCTTTTCAAAGTTAGTACTAAAAACTTAGTACTAAATCAGAATTGTTTCTCCTTAATTCATAATTACCTGCCAATAATCCCTAAAGGTGGATGTTAATCAAATCTGATGGGATATTGTGTCCAAGATGAACCAACCCAAAAGTTTTAAGAGGTTTTCTTCCTAACATCCCATCACAGATAAGGTATTACAAATAATTACAATGAAGAGATCAGTTAATGGCTTTGAATTTTTCCTCAATGGTGCTTTTATCTAAATCACTAGAAAAATACACTATTTTCCAAGTTTTTAAAGATTTCCAAGTCATGCTATAGAAATGACTGAGTCAGCAACCAATTGTATAACAGTTATTCCAATATAAAGGCTGTGTTAATCCTATAATCCCTCATATAATCCTATATGAGGGCTCTGTTAAAAGGGGACACATCCCATGGTGGAGGGGATACAAGACAGACAGACAGAGTCCCCACCTCCATTCATTCAATCGACAGAGGTTTGCTAAGGAGCCAGGCACTGTCCTAAGTGCTGAGGATCGACCCACAGGTCAGGACAGGAGACAATACTCTGCACCGTGTAGAGGACACACTGAACAAGCATAGAAAATGTGCTATTTGGCTGTGACCTGTGCTCTGAAGGAAAAATAAGGGCAGCTGCTGTCTTAGATGTGGAGACATGGGAGCCCTGAGACTGTCTGGCGAAACATCCTGGAAGAAGGCACAGCAGGTGCAGGGTTCCTGGAACAGAACATGCTGGATGGAGACGCCTTCCTGCATTCATAGTTTATGGGTGGGAGGTGGTGGTGGTGGTTTAGTGGCTAAGTCGTGTCCGAATCTTGCAACCCCATGGACTGTAGCCTGTCAGGCTCCTCTTTCCATGAGGTTTTCCAGGCAAGAATCCTGGAGTGGGTTGCCATTCCTTCTCCAGGTTATCTTCCCGACCCAGGAGTCGAACCTGGGTCGCCTGCATTGCAGGCAGATTCTTTCCCAACTGAGCTACAATGGGTGGCAGGGGGACTGATAAATGGTTAAGTGCACCCACTGAAGGCTGTGGGAAGACAGAGGGCATGGGTGCCCCCTGAAGGAGTAGGTGGGAATGGCAGGTCCCGTCTTCCACCTTCCTTCTGTGCCCTGGCTCACTGCTCCCTGGCTCTGGGACAGAGGGACCAGTATGTACAGACAAACAGGGTATGAAAGGATCCCCACAGAGCCAGCACAGCTGGATACCCAGTGGGTGTGGGGACGAACTGGAAAGGCTGATCAGAGCAGATAGCAAGGAAGCCTGTTTGTTTGAGTACCTGGAGCTGCTTTGTGAATGTGGTGGTGGCGGGGTGGTGGTGGTTGGTGGGTGGGGGAGGTGTGTCCGTGAAGGGCTGGAGCATGTGTGTAGACAGCAGTGTGGGGAGTCTGAGCAGGATCGACCCCAAGATCTGATGACGCAGGAGGCAGGGGTCTAGTGATGCGGGGCTGAACCAGGATGGGATCGATGGCTGAACACAGGTGAGACTGCATCAGTTCACGTAAGGCCCTCACCTTCTGTAGCTGATAGAATCCACTGTGTTCACAGCATAAAGCTGTAAAAGTCATGAACCTAAATGACCTTGGATATAAATTCATGACTGAAGGAAACTGTTAAGGGCAAGCAAAAGTGTGAGTCATTCATTTATAATACAAAACCCTCCCCATGAATAAGCTTCCACACGACCACCATCTCTCACAGCATATTGTTCCATCCGATTCTCTGACTTGAGAACACTCTCCAGTTGCTGCTGAGTGGTTTCCTAAATGGCTTTCACGCTCTCTGCTTTAAGTTTCCCTAGAGAATGTGGTTCTGATTACAAACAACGGTCTTAACCTTCCTTCTATCAAGTATATATCCAAAGCCGTATACTCAAAATATTTGAGAGGATTTTATAAATATCTCCAGTGTTTGAAAAACAACTCAGGAGAACTTCTGCGATCAGTACACTGTACTTGGCACCAAAATGCCTTGCTCTCCCTTCCCTGTGACAGGGATGCAATGACCAGCAGTATCTGTTCCTGCCCTGATGGAGAACTTGTGCAGATGCACACAAGATAGGGTAATACACATTTGTGAACTCAGGGTGGGGTGCTGGGAACAAGGAGGCTGAGATACTCATGATGCCAGGAGGGTGGCGGTGGGGAATCCCTGTCACAGCATGAGCTCCTGTCACTGAACTAGTGACAAGACCCAAGGCACTTCTCTAAGGGAAAATTCATCAAGCCATGAACAAGCCAGGCTGGGAAAGGGGGGTCATATCAGAGAGCTGGAGACCATGCCATGTGTCATCTGCCCTGTTCTCTCACTTACTGTCAGCACTGTTCAGCACTTACTGTCCTGTAGTAAAACACTCTAAACCCTGACTCCGCTGACCTTTCCCCGGCATCTGTCTTAACAAGCTCTATGTAAAGACAGGCTCCTCAGAAGCAGGAATGAGAGCTGGGCATCCTGGTCTCCCTTATTCTGCCCAGTGTGTGTCCTTCCCCTCTGCTGGTCACTGTCCTCCTTGTAAACTAAGAGGTTTTGTGCAGTAAGGCATTGATCTCAGTGCACACAGCAGGGTGTTTATAAGTGCAGCTGGAAGGCTCGTTGGCTTTAACAAAGTGAACACAGCAAGCGACATGATCTTGGGGGTGATGTGAAGGCTGTTTTAGGAAAACAACAAGTTTGCAAGGCTTTCAAAAAGGCCAGTCTAGACTCCATAAGAGGCCTCAGTCAGTGTGTGTTAGGACACATTATACACAGAAAAGAATCAGAGTTGTTCTACTTTAGTCACTGTATAGCCAAGCAGGAGTCACTGACAAGTTCCACATTTTAGAAACAGGAATGAGAGTCAAGACTTAAGCCAGATTACAGGTGATACTACATTGCAGGTCTAAGTATTAATTCTAGTAAGCATCCATGAAATAACATGAAATGATTGAAATCATACTCAGATGTATAATACATGATTCTCAAATTCTATTTTCAAAGTGATAGAATAACAAGCATAAACCAACAGGGTCTTTCCATGGAAGCCCTATGTCAGTACTGAAAACTTCACCTGTAATGTGCCTTAAGCAAACGATGGAGGGAAAAAACTGGCAGCCAAGTACCAGGTTATAGAGTGTTACTCTCTGATTTAAAAACCCTATATCATCTTTCTTATTCCTGGGGTCTGGGTCCACCCAGAGTGTCTGGTTATCAACTGCAAGTAGCAGAAAGGACCTATTTGTCACTCCAAAATCACTGCAGATGGTGACTGCAGCTATGAAATTAAAAGATGCTTACTCCTTGGAAGGAAAGTTATGACCAACCTAGATAGCATATTAAAAAGCAGAGACATTACTTTGCCAACAAAGGTCCGTCTGGTCAAGGCTATGGTTTTTCCAGTGGTCATGTATGGATGTGAGAGTTGGACTGTGAAGAAAGATGAGCACCAAAAAATTGATAGTTTTGAACTATGGTGTTGGAGAAGACTCTTGAGAGTCCCTTGGACTGCAAGGAGATCCAACCAGTCCATCCTATAGGAGATCAGTCCTGGGTGTTCATTGGAAAGACTGATGCTGAATCTGAAACTCCAATACTTTGGCCACCTCACGCGAAGAGTTGACTCATTGGAAAAGACCCTGATGCTGGGAGGGATTGGGGGCAGGAGGAGAAGGGGATGACAGAGGATGTGATGGCTGGATGGCATCACCGGCTCAGTGGGCATGAGTTTGAGTAAACTCCGGGAGTTTGTGATGGACAGGGAGGCCTGGCATGCTGTGATTCATGGGGTTGCAAGGAGCCAGACATGACTGAGCAAGTGAACTGAACTGAACTGAAAGCATGGACCCCACTGGGACCACACACTGGAAGCACCTGCTTTATGTTCCTGTCTTGACTTCATCATGATGCAAGATTTCTCTATGATGGATCTTCTATGGAGGGAAGGGAGGGGAGGGAGGAACACCAGGGCAGAGGGAGCTGAGCCTCCTGGAGCACAAAGACCTTCCTGAGCTCTCTTCCCTCATCTCTACAGGGCTTTTGGAAAGAAGAAACGATAGAAAACAGGAGTAAACTCACTTTTCAAACAAGTGCCTGATGACTAATGCATCCACTGCGCTGAGCGGATCGTCCAGGAGGTAGATGTCTGCATCCTGATACACGGCTCTAGAAAACGTAGAGAGACATCAGGAGAGGACACTACATACTCCCTGGGTCTCACCTCTGAATCATGATGGTGTCATGTTCCTTCTACAATGTCATGTTCCTTCTACAAGCCCAAGGAAAGGGCCAAGACCCTGCTTCACACAGGGCCACCCGGTGAGCCAGGTCTGTGTGCTCACATCCACTAGGAGCCACAGAGGAAGAGGGGCAGGATGGCAACTGAAACACCATTTACCTGGCGAGGCTGGCCTGGGATTTCTGTCCTTCACTCAGCAGGGTTCCTCTTTCTCCTATCTCAGTTAGATCTCCTTCCTCCAAAAACTGTAAATCCTATACAGATAGAAAAGGGGGAAAAGAAAAAGATATAAATTGTGTTTTACTAACATCTTACACTTTTATCATTAGTTCTTAATACAAGTATTCGATTAATGTGCATATATGCTCAGCTGCTAAGTCGTATTCAACTCTTTGTAAACTCATGGATTAGGGCTTATCAGGCTCCTCTGTCCCTGGGATTCTCCAGGCAAGAATACTGGAGTGGTTTGCTATTTCCTCCTCTAGGGTATCTATCTGACCCAGGGATCAAATTCGTGTCTCCTGCGTCTCCTGCACTGGCAGGTGGATTCTTTACCACCGAGCCACCTGGGAAGCTAGAGCAGCGGGTATAAGTCAGAGGAACTAAATCGTGACCTTGAACATTTAAAAAAAAAAAAAACCTCTCAGTGTTTTTTGTTTTCATTCTGTAGTTTTGCATAGCAGCTATGTATTTGACCATTTTAACAGATATTTACTAAGGACCTACCATATGACAGGCATTGCTCTGGGCACAATGAACTCAGTCATGAAGAAACAAAGCTCCTAGGGTTTCTTTCCATGATAGGAGATGGATGATATGGAAATTAACTTGAGCACAAGGACTGAGGACAGGAAGGAAAAGGAAGCTGGCTCAGGGGGGTGGAGACTGAAGGAGGGAAATGAATCCATACTGGGGTGGGAGGGCTCTGCTCAGACGAGGGTGAGCAGATCTGAGGTGGGAAGGGGCTCAGGCAGACCTCTCCACACAGAGGGAGGGGCAGGTGCAGGGGCCACTGGGAGATGCCCAAGGGGTTCAGGACAAGGAGGCAGGAGAGCAGAGTGAGAATGAAGGGAGTGAGGGTGGAGACAGAGCAGGAGGAGCCTGGGGTCACTCCAGTAACAGGAGGAAGGGGAAGACAGACCTGTTAAAGGCTTTAAGGAATCGCTCCTGTGCTTTACAGAAAAAGACAGTAAGTGGGGAAGGGTGAGGGTGAATACAAGTGAGGAGGCTACTGGTATAATCAATGTGAGAGATGACGGTGGTCAGGACCAGAGTGAGAGCAGTGGGAATGGAGAGATGGGGTTACACTCCAGGCACATGTTGAAGGTGGAGTCCGAAAGACCTGCTGATGGGATGGGTGTGGCTATAAGAGAAGAGGACTGTGGTGTTTGGGGTGAGGAAGAGGAAGGACAGAGTCTCCATTTTCTGACTTGGGAAAGATGGTGGACGCATGTTTAGGAGACTTCACTTGTGGACAAACTGAGATGACCTCTCAGTGATGTCATGGTGCAGCTGGACAGGCAGATGTGAAGGTCTGTGCTAGAGACACAGGTGTGAGAGCTGGTGGCCCAGGCTGGCGAAGGCACAGGAATTGTTTTTATCAAGGAATGAGTGTCTCTTAAAAAGACATTTTGCTGATCTCTGGTTCAGCTTCCCACTTTCAGAGAAGGGATAACATTTGACCCAAGTCTCCACAGTGATACTTAAAGTGAGTGATAGACAAGGTCTGTCTAAGAAATGGGAGCAGAAAGAGCAAGCTGGGCAGGAAAACCAAAAGGAAAGAAACAGTGTGCTCAAAGGACACCCAGCAGATCAGCTGGACTAAGTAGATGCTTGTCTGTGAAAGCAGGAAAAACTCAAAGTTAAGAAGGAAATAAAGTTGTAACTTGAGCATCTGGGAATCAATCAAAAGTTATATTTGAATATTATTTAAGAAGCAAATAGACAAATCAGCCTATTTTCCCCCAGGGTACCATGGGAAAAAAAAAAAGAATAGATGACAAGAACATTCCCAAAGTGATGAGATAATCAGGCTTAAGTAGTTGTTCAGTCACTCAGTTGTGTCTGACTCTCTGTGATCCCATGGAATGCAGCACTCCAGGCTTCCTTGTCCTTTACCATCTCGTGGAGCTTGTTCAAACTCATGTCCACTGTGTCGGGGATGCCATCCAACCATCTCGTCCTCTGTCATCCCCTTCTCCTCCTGCCTTCAATCTTTTTCAGCATCAGGGTCTTTTCTAATGAGTTGGTTCTTCCCATCAGGTGGTCAAAGTGCTGGAGCTTCAGCATCAGTCCTTCCAATTAATAATCAGGGTTGATTTCCTTTATGATTGACTGGTTTGATCTCCTTGCAGTCCAAGGGACTCTCAAGAGTCTTCTTCAACACCACAGTTCAAACGCATCTATTCTTCTGCGCTCAGCTTTCTTTATAGTCCAACTCTCACAGCAATACATGACTACTAGAAAAACCATGCCTTTGATTATATGGACTTTGTAGGCAAAGTAATGGCTCTGACTTTCAATACGCTGTCTAGGTTTGTCATAGCTTTTCTCCCAAGGAGCAAACGTTTTTAATTTCACGGATGCAGTCACCATCTGCAGTGATTTTGGACACCAAGAAAATAAAGTCTGTCACTGTTTCCATTCTTTCCCAATCTATTGCCATGAAGTAATGGAACTGGATGCCATGATCTTAATGTTTTGAATGTTGAGTTTTAAGTCAACTTTTTCACTCTCTTCTTTCACCTTCATCAAGAGGCTCTTTAGTTGCCCTTCACTTTCTGCTATAAGGGTGGTGTCATCTGCATATCTGAGGTTATTGATATTTCTCCCAGCAATCTTTATTCCAGCTTGTGCTTCATCCAGCCTGGTATTTCACATGGTGTACTCTGCATATAAGTTAAATAAGCAGGGTGACAATATACAGCCTTGTACTCCTTTCCCAATTTGGAATCAGTCAGTTGTTCCATGTCCAGTTCTAAGTGTTGCTTCTTGACCTCCATACAGGTTACACAGGTGGCCAGTAAGGTGGTCTGGCATTGCCATCTCTTTTAGGAATTTTCTGCCCTTTGTTGTGATCCACACAGTGAAAGGATTTATCATACCAATTAAGCAGAAGTAGATGCTTTTCTGGAATTCTTTTGCTTTTTCTATGATCCAACAGATGTTGGGAATTTGATCTCTGGTTCCTCTGCCTTAGACTTAAGTTACATGGTATTTCAATTGAAGTCTTAGGCTGCCTATAATTATCAATTGGCACATTCTGTCATAGACAGAGTTTGTTTGGAGTTTTTATCTACTAAACCCCCCATGCCTCAACCTAGGATGCACAGCAGTACCTTTCTGCAGATGAAGTCCTCACTTCTCTGTCTCTACTGCAGCAAATTTGGGGAGAAAGCAAGTAGCTCACTGGTGCCACCATGACAAACAAGTCCTTTGATCTCCCTAAGTCTCATTTTCCTCTTCTACAGAATGTGCTGCAGAAACCAAAGTCACTGAACTCAAGGATGCTGTGAGAATCTAAAGAAGTGTGTGAAAACACTTCCACAAATGAAAAAAGGACATGAGTTGATTAAAACTTGCTGCTGGTGACTGATCTCTATTTTCTCATCAAGTCAACAGTAGGACCCTGTTTACAGTGTGAATCATAACATACAAAGCACATGCCCACCATGGAAGAAAGAGACTCCATCATTAATCCTTGCTGGCAACCACAAAGACACAGACACACACAGGTTCTCCACTCACTCAAATCTTAATGGAGGTGCATCTGATGAAAGGCAGCAAGCACTCTGTTGTGATAATTTATAATTACCTCACATTATTTCTTTCTTGAGCTCAGAAATTAATACCATCTCTTGCTCTTGGTTTTCATTGAAAAAATGAGCTTTATGTTAAGTTCTCAGCCTCATACACACACAGAATTACTTAGCCTCTCTTTCACTGTTGACAGTCCTTGCAAACTGTTCCACTTAGTTTTTATGCTTTGATTTTATTTTGTTCTAATTTGTTTTCTTCTTAACATAGCACCACGTTGTAATATAGCAATCTTAACCACATTCTAGAAAAAGCACCCATGGCCCCTCTTTCCAGGACATAAGAAACTATCTCTGAGTCTGATAGTAATACTTTGAATGTGTTGTTGACTCTGTAAATTATATATGAGCAAGCCATCAAGGAGAAAAGAATTTTGGAGGATATAAAGTAAAACCAAGTCAAGTTGATTTCTCAGGCAACGTGTCCTGATTAAAGGGGAAAAGCCTGAGTTGGGCATATATTATAGTTCCTTCCACTGACAGGAAAGTGTTCTTATTCATATTTGTTACCTCTAAGTTAAGTAAATAAGTGTTAGTTGCTCAATTGTGTCCAATTCTGTGATCCCATGGACTATAGTCTACCAGGCTCCTCTGTCCATGGAATTCTCCAGGCAAGAATACTGGAGTGGGTTGCCATTTTCTTCTCCAGGGGATCTTTCCAACCCAGGGAGTGCACCCAGGTCTTCCTGCATTGCAGACAGATTCTTTACTGACTGAGCCACCAGGGAAGCCCCAAAATTTAGCCAACTCACTGAACAGCAGACACACACACTAGAGGCAAACTAGGAAATGGTGATGCTGGTTTGATGCCATTCATCCAGAAGCACATCAAGGGCCCTTCAGTGATGGTGGAGACTCACAGTAGAGACACCTTGGAGCAGACTGCTGAAGTGGTTAATGTGGGCTGGACAGGTGGCCCTGGCAGAGGAGGGCTGGACTCGAGAGTCAAACAGCAGGAGCCCTGCTTCCTTCACAGCTTTCCTTCCATGTGGAATCACCCCTCCTCTCACAGCCTATAAACATCCCACCCATCTTTCCAGGCTCAGCCCAAACACACTCTCCCATGAAACCATCCTGGACTTGTCTCTCTTCCTGCTGAGTTCTGTTTACATCTCTCATCTCTCATGAAGGACCCATCTTATTCTGCTCCATCATTTGTACACATGCACATGGCTTCTCACAGCTCCTGGTGGGTAAGATCTCTGGACCAAACTCTGTTCTGGAACCTAATGCTGATTATCTCTAATCCTCATAGCAAGATGCACAGTAAGTACTGGCCCCATTTCACAGATGAGGAAACTGGGATTGAGTGAGGTCACATCACTGGTCTGAGGGTGGTCAGCTGTTAAACAGAAGAGCTGGAATCTGAACCACCTCATGTCAGTTCAGAGCCTTCTGCTCTTTCACATCATGCTGCCCAGGTGGTGACTAAAGATATG